AACTGAACAAAGGCTGTGGGAGGGGTCGCTGAAGGCAGAGTGCTGGAAGCAGGCTGGAAGGAGGCTGGAGAGATGGCTGGGAGGCAGAGATGGCTCTGACCCCCCAAAGGGGGGGGCTGGCATGCCCTGGGACCCCAAGCTGGACCTAACTGAGGGGGGCCCTGTTGTCTGTGCCTGCAAGACCTGTCTTGGACTGTGTTCCTGTCATCCAAATAAACCTTCTGCTTTACTGGCTGGCTGAGAGTCATGGTGAATCGCAGGAAGCCGGGGGTGCAGGGCCCTGAGTTCCCCAATACTCCGTGACATGGGCGCAGAGGGAGGGAAGCGGAGGCAGCACCAGGCCGGCCCCGGAGAGCGTGGCCCCCATTCCCTGCCGGGCTCTGCCCAGTGTCTGGGACCTGATGGGGGTCGGGGTGGGAGGGAGGCCACCGGCAGATTCCCCAGCCCTTCCCCTGGGCGGCTGCACCTGCCGGAGGTGGGTCACCCAGTCAGCCCCCTGCCTAGCACCGGCCGAGAGCCGCCCCCAGGCTCCGCGTCAGCCCCAGCTACTCTGGGTACAGAGGCAGATTCTCCCCCTGCGCCGTCTCTCCCGCTACTGGACAGGGAGGTGGGGCCCTTCAGAGTGAGGCCTGGGGCCCTCCTAGAGTGTTGCCTTTACTGAGTTCCTTCCCCTCCCTGAGCCTCAGTTTCCCCTCTCACCTTCCCACAGTTCGACTGTGAGCTCTTTGGGGCAGGGACTGTCTGGCCAGCGCCCTGCGCGACGGGGCCCCAGTCTTGGCCGGGGTCTGGGCAGCGCCCGGCGCGACAGGGCCTGATCTCAGCTGGGGTTTGGGCAGCACCCGGCCCAACGGGGCCCTGATCGCATCAGGCCTCTAGTAGCTGCGAGTAGAGACACCCCTGAAGCTGCCCGGGGCGGGGTCTGTAACGGAGGGGCCGAGGGGGCAAGTGAGGCGCCTCCTCACTGCCCCATCAAGTCCCAGCTCCCTCCAAAGAGCGTGGGAGCCGCTCAAGGGCCGCGAGCCCCGGGCTGTCCTGGCAGAGCAGAGAGGCCGGCAGGCGCCCGGCCTGCATGGGGGTGAAGGCTACTCTGGGGCACCCCGGGATTGAGGCTGGCGTGTTACGCCCCAGGTTTCACACCTACCCCCCTTTAAGAAGGCCCGGGGGAGGGGTCAGGCCTGAGGGTGGGGGTTGGCTCCTTGGACCAGGCAGGGCCTGGATCCCAGTAGAAAGCCCAGCAATTGGAGATGGAAAGGCCCAGGCAGGTCCCTGGGTCGGGGCTCTCTGGGGCCCGGTCAGGTCTCTAGGGCCCGGGCAGGTCACTGGGGTGGGGGTTCTAGGGCCCGGGCAGGTCTCTAGGGCCTGGGCAGGTCTCTGGGGTGGGGGTTCTAGGGCCCGGGCAGGTCTCTGGGGCCCGGGCAGGTCTCTGGGGTGGGGGTTCTAGGGCCCGGGCAAGTCTCTGGGTCGGGGGTGTCACATTATTGATTTGAATTGGGACCATGTGACGAAGTGGGACTGTTCTTAATGTTTCCTCTGAATACTGTGTGGGTGCCTCAGTTTCCCCTATGCATTTCTTAAATCTCTAGGTGGTGGGGAAAGGCCAGTGTGCATAAATCACTGACACTCTGTCTCCCTGGCAACAAATGGCCAGGGCCCCTTCTCCCCCTGCAAGGAAATAGCTAAAGGTGAACAAAGAGATCAGGTGACCTCCTGGCCCAGGAAAGAGACAAAGCCCAGAGGAGGAGGGGCTGGAGGGGGTTTTCAGTTGGAGCTACCTGGGGACTAGGAGTGAGGGCAGACGTGGGTGTCTGGCTCTCTGAACCCCAGAATGGACCCGGCCGAGGGGTCCCGTTCGCCGCTGCACCTACAAGCTCTGTTTTAGACCGTGTTCCTGTCATCTAATAAACCTCTGTGTTACTGGCTGGCTGAGAGTCACGTCTGACTGAGAAGTGGGGGATGCAGGACCCTCTGGCTTCCCCAGGACCTCGCCTGGGCGGACTCGCTGTGGGAAGCGCACGGAGGGGCATATGCTGAATGCTCCCAGGAGAGACCCAGGAGGTGAAGCCGTGTGAGCGTCTTGCCCTGAAGACAGTCTGCTCCAAGAGAGGAGGCTCCCCAGAGTCCTGCCTGGCTTTGTGGGGAGCAGTTCCCGAGCATCGCCCGGGGACTCCGTGACAGACCGTATAGAACATGGTTGCAACCAAAGTCCTGTAGTGGCACCAAATCTTGTATAAAGGGGGTCAAATGGGGTGTCTAAGACAAGGTTATGGTTTGCTGGTTATGATTATGCTGTCTGTATGGGTGTATCAGTGATGCAGTTGAAGTTATGAATATTGGCTCTATACTGTCTGTATTTCAAACTTGTGCTATGCTTCTGGGAGACATCCCAGAGAAGTTGGTGTTAGCTCTGCCTAGCCTGCTTGGTGGCCCATTAAGGACCATCAGCTATACAATGGACCCATTGAGAGAAGGCAGATACGCCTTGAGACTCAGCAAAGTATGCAGGGACTGGCCCATGTGACTCCAGACTCCATTTTGCTGTAATTTTCCACAGTAAGGACAAAGAGGTGTTCTTACACCTGGAAAAGACTATAAAAGGCTGATGCCTTGTCTCCATCTGGTCTTCAATCCTGCTTCTGACCTCTGGAGGGACTTTGCTACAAACTGAAGCTCTGAACAAAGGACTGAATGACCCATCCCAGCCGGGGATGCTCCAGAGACTTGATTTGAACCTGCAGTTTATTCTATCGCTGCTGCAAGCCTGAACCAAGAACTTTGCCATTTCTGTGTGTCATTGATTCCATGTAACCAATTCTAGCTCTCATCTATATTTCTTCCTTTTATGAATAAACCTTTAGATTTTGGATTCTAAAGGATTGGCAACAGCGTGATTTGTGGGTAAGATCTGATTTGTATATTGACCTGGGTCTGGGGCTTGGTCCTTTGGGATCGAGAG